GTATATATGTATTTTGAAAGAAGAAGAAGATAGAAAACGTGAAAGGGAACTGATTTTTCATTACTGCAAAAACATATTTATAGTGATGCAAAAAGTATGAATCAATACCAACTTTTCATAATTTAAGAAAATTTGTTCCCTTGTCTAAAGCTGAAATTAAGTTTCACCACATTTAGTTCAAATTTCTAGTATATTTATCAATTATATTACAAAATATTCAAAAACAAAAAAGAAAACAAAATCTGGTGCATAGCTTTGTATCAATACTTTGATAATGAACAACAATCTTCATCAAGCACTCCTTGATGCAAGAGCTATGCACAACACTAAACTTGTCTCTAAGTTCTTCAAATTTGTTCTTCTGCAATCCTTTGGTGAAAATATCAACAACTTGTTCCTCCGTTGAACAATGCAACAACACAACTTCACCTTTTTTTTTTTTTTTTTTTTGCTTCTCTAATAGCATGATACTTGATTTTAATGTGTTTAGTTTTTTCATGAAAAACTGGATTTTTAAACATTGCAACAGTAGACTTATTATCACACAAAATCATTGTAGCGAGCTTCTTGCTTAAACTTTAAATCATTCATAACTTTTCTCAACCATAAGGCTTGATTAACGAGCAGCAGATGCAACCACATATTCTACCTAAGCGATTGCAGCTGATCGAGCAACAAAACCTTGCTTCCTTGAACTCTAACATATAACACCCGATCCAAGGGTAAAACAATAGCTTGAGGTGCTTTATCAATCTTCAAGTGATCTAGCCTAATCACTATCGGTGAATCCAAGTAGTTTCGTGGCTGAACTCCTCCTAAACAATACACCATATGAAATTGTACCCCGAATATACCTTAGGACCCTTTTGGTCGCTTTGAGATGATTTTCAGTTGGCATGTGCATGTATCTTGATAGAATGCTGGTTGTATACATTATGTCGAGCCTTGTGATTGACAACTACAACAATGAACCAATAAGACTCTTAAAGATTAAAGGATCAATAGATGTTGAGCCATCATTTGCTTGTAACTTCAATCTTTGAACTGTTGGAGTACCGAAAACTTTGCAACCAATTAAAGAAAGCTTCTTCAACAATTCCGTTGCATATTTCTTTTGAGAAATGAAAATGCATGTTGAAACTTGAGACACTTCCATTCCTAGAAAATAACACATCTACCCCAAATCATTTATCTCAAACATGCCCTACATTTGCTTTCTAAACTCTTTCACAAAACATGGATTGCTTCCAACGACGATAATATCAACGTTGATTGAAACAATTAGAATTTCAACACACAATTGTTTCACAAATAGTGTTGCTTCATTGATGCTCTTTTCAAATCCCAAGTCAAGCAAGTAGCCATCAATCTTTGCATACCAAGCTCTAGGAGTTTATTTTAAACTATACGTAGTGCTTTTTTCAACAAATAAACTTTATCGGCAGTATTTTTAATAATAAAACCCTCGGGTTGCTTAATGTAAATTTTCTCCTCAAGAACACCATTGAGAAATGCCGATTTGACATCAAGTTGATAGACTTTCTAGCCTTTATGAGCAACAAGAGTAAGCAATAATCTAATTGTATCGAATCCGGTTATAAGAGAAAAGGTTTCGGTGAAGTCAAAACCTTACTATTGAGAGCAGACCTTTCACGACTAATTTAGCCTTGTATTTGCTGATTGAGCCATCAAGATTCATCTTCACTCGAATACCGACTTTGTACCAATTACTTGTTGATTTTCCGGCCTCTCAACAAGTAACCAAGTTTCATTTTTAACAATCATATTAAATTCTTCCTCCATACTTGCTTTCCATTTTGGAGATTGCAAAGCTCGAACAACCGATACATTTTCAAATATAGCAACATTGTATCTCGCTATAGATATCTTGTAGAGTTCGATGCCTCTAACAGTATGATGCTTATCCTCGAAATCCTCCTCCTCAAAAGTTTCACCATGAAGTTGAGGTGCATTTCCAGCATTAATGTTTTGATATGAGGACTCTCCAATCATTTTCTCCCAATTCCAAACATCATTTTCATCAAAATTTACACTCTTACTCACATAAACCTTCTCGGTTATGGGATTTAAAATTCTATATCCTTTCAAAACAATGGTATAACCGACAAAGATACCAACTTCAACCCTTTGATCAAGCTTGTCCCTCTTTGCATCGAGAACATGTGCATAGCAAGTGCTTCCAAAAATCTTTAAATGAGCCATCGATGGTTGGACACCTATTCCAAGCTTCATAAGGTGTTTTATCATCAACAACTTTAGTTGGAGGTCTCGTTTTAAAGATAGACAAGCAATGTTTATTGCCTCTCGCCCACAACTTCTTAATTTGGTAAACCTTCTCCAAACAATAGGCACCTTATCATGTTCCCGATTAATCTGTTCTTCATTTCACTTACACCATTTTGCTTAGGTGTATAAATGATTGTGAGTTGATGATGAATACCTACCTTTTGAAGAAATGACTGGAATTAAGAAGAGACATATTCGGTTTCGTTGTCGGACCTCAAGGTCTTGATGACATGAGCACTTTGTTTTCCTACGGTAGCCTTAAACTTTTGAAATATATGAAAGACTTCATTTTTTTTTAAAAGAAAATAGACCTAGTAATACCTTAAAAAATAATCAATAAATAAAAGAAAGTATTTGCTATCATTGTAAGAAGGTATGTTAATGGGTCCACATAGGTCGATATGAACCAACCGGAGCTTTTCGGCTTGCTCTCTAAGCTTGGTTCACAGGAAATGAGTTTTGCTTAACTTACCAAGTTGACAAGAGCCACTTACATTAGAAATTATAGTCACGATAGGTAAATCATTCACCATTTTGCCCTTTTCAAACAACTTCAAAACAACATAATTTATGTGGCCTAGCCTCTTGCGCCACAAACAAGAGTCAAATTCAATACTAACAAAAGCTTCATCTTCGTCATTTTTCCACTCAATATTAAAGCTTCCATTGTGCATTTTAATTGATAGAAGCCGTATACTAGAAAGATCAATAATTTAATAAAATTTATCCTTGAATTTAACTGAATAATTCTTATCTAACAACCGACCAGTCGCTTAATAAATTATGTTGAATATTAGGCGTAAACAATGCATTAGAGATAAGCTTTGTACTCGATAGAGTTTGCATAGACACAACACATTTGCCTTTGACATCCACTAGTCTCCCATCACCAAGCATTACTTTGGAAGAATATGCTCTGTCCAAAATTTTAAAAAGTTTTAAATTTGCTAACATATGATGAGTACAACCACTCGTTGATCATCCAAGCATTAGTGTTTTGAGTTACCGTTAAACATTCAAGAAGCAACAACAAAAAGTTTCTCCTCCCGAACTTCGAGTCCTTCGATGACTTGTGCGAGTCGAGGTTGATGTTGATCACCATTCCTCGGACAAACTCTTTCAATATGTCCAAACCGCTTACATAATTTGCATTATAGCCCGTGTCCGTACCAGCTGTAATTTTCAGGTGTGGTTTGTCTTCTTGTAATGAGGACAAGATGGATACTTGCCTCTCCTACTCTTTCTCATGTCGCTTCGATTAAATTTTTTTTTGTCTTTACCTCTCTTTGAATGAGAGCCTTTCTTTGCATCATTAGTCCGCACTTTTGTTTTTTGGGATGCAAAAAATGCATTTTCGATTAAGCCTTCCTCTTTTCTAAATGCTTTCTTTACACAACGACTTGTAGGTGTGAGCGAAAGTTGAGACAAATCCCAAGCGTCTTCAAGTGAAGAGATGTTTGCCTCAAATCTTTCCGGAAGAGTTACCATTACCTTCTCCACAACTTTTCTTTTTGGTAAGTCCTCATCTAACAACCTTGATTAACAACTTTCATAACTCTATCAATGTACTCTTTCACATTCTCGGTCTCTTTCATTTTGAGAAATTCAAACTCTTTTCTTAAATTCAAGATCTCGCATATGTTTTATCTTTTCATTTCTTTGAAATTCGACTTCGACTTGTCCCGGACTTCTTTTGATGTCCCGCATGCCATAATCCTTGTGAAAATAGTCTCATTTATTGCTGAATGAAGACTACTCGGGGCTCTAAATTTTCTAAAGACCCCTTCTTCATACATTCTAAGTTGATTCAAAGTTGGATTGCTCGTCAATTCGGCTTCAAAGTCCGATTCAGCAGACTTTCCACAATAGTAGACCCCCGAGATATGCTTTCATCTTCACAAACCACACATGATAATTTTCTTCAATGAAGAATTGGAGGAGCAGCAGAAATACTACTACTTGTAGCCATCACAAAAATCACTTAAATCTGTAAAGTGTTTATGGTTTTTCTAAGTGAGGTTTTCTTACTTGTTTTCTCTCACATACAATCCCACAAAGATCAATTGTTGCTTTGATACCAGGTGTAGGAATTTTCTAGTATATATGTATTTTGAAAGAGGAAGAAGATAGAAAATGTGAAAGGGAACTGATTTTTCATTAGTGCAAAAACATATTTATAATGATACAAAAAGTAAGAGTCAATACCAACTTTTCATAACTTAAGAAAATTTGTTCCCTTGTCTAAAGTTGAAATTAAGTTTGACCATAATCCGTTCAAACTTCTAGTACATTTATCAATTATATTACAAAATATTCAAAAGCAAAAAGAACAAAATCTGGCGCATAGCTTTGTATTGGTACTTTGATCATGAACAACAATCCTCATCATATATATATATATATATATATATATATATATATACAGGAAACAGTCCCAAACCAAACATTCCTCTAATTTGGCTTGTTGGGTGACTAAAATTTTGGTCAAGATCATGGCTGGTTTACTTTTTAACATGTCCATGCATCATTTGCAAAAACGATTTCAAACATCAAATTGAATGGATCAATACTGTCCTGAAGTTTTTAAAAGATTGCTTTTCCTAGAAAGCATAAGAATTTGTAACATTTCTATTCATGAAGTTTGAAGGGTACATTATTTCATGAACACACTGGAATTGGAAATCGCAAGCATGTTAATCATAAGCTGATGAAGTTGTAATGTCATTCCATGCGTAAACAACAATTGGACTCCTCACCTTGTGAGAACCATCAGACCACACCAAAGATGCAGAAAAAGTAGTGCCAGCTTTTAAATTTCCACCAACAACGGTCACATCGAAGGACTTCTTCTCATTTAAGGACTTAAAGGAGAGAACTTCAGGCACAACTTTGATCTTGAGGGAAGAATCTGAGAAGATTTCCGCCTTGTATTGGGAATTTGCAATGCCAACATTCGTAACTGCTCTATGAAATTTAATTGTGAAGGACTCTTGCACTGCAACTTTAGCTGACATTGAAGGGTAATTCAAATCCCTTGGCAAGGTTTTGTTATTAGTGGCATTACTACAGCTGCTGTTGTCTCCTGAGATTTGTCGAAGTTGGTCTTCAGTATATCCCAAGCTACAGAGCAATTGTATGTAGTCACTTTTTTGTGCTTCATAAACAAGTCCAGGGTTAATGGCTTTTACTGGATATGCATGCCCAGATCCAAAAGCAAATTCCCCCTCTGATCTTTTGGTAACATTCATGGGCCAAGCTGGAAAACAAAAAAATCACAGAGAGAAAGGTGGTGGTTACATATAACCTTGTTGCATAAAGGAACCGAAAGTTATGTGATCGACATATTTATACTTTTCAATGATCTAACCAACTAAGAGAAATGGAAAAGAATAAAGTGATTACCAGTAGTCATAATAGCAGATTTAATAGCTGAAGGAGACCAATCAGGGTGAGATGCTTTAACGTAAGCTGCTACACCAGCAGCATGGGGGCAAGCCATTGAGGTTCCAGACATTATAGTGTACTTAGCACGCCTCTTGTCTTCAGTGTCGTCTGTAAGTGAAAGAACAGGTGGATATGCAGCCAAGATCTCTACGCCTGGGGCACTAACATCTGGCTGCAGTTCATTTGATTAATTTATGACAAATTTGAAATATAACAAATATATAAAAGAAAAATACAATTAATACCTTCAAAATATCTGATATGATGGCATTTGGGCCACGCGAAGAGAAGGAAGCAACTTCAGGTGCAATAGGATTCTTAATGGCTTCACTTTTTAATATGTTTGCTGAAGGTTTCCTACAAAGACACAAGGATTGCATCATTTGAAGGAGCTAAATGCAAAATTATAATGGACTAGATACTTCTCAGCTAAAAAGAAAACATACGTGGTGGAATTAATATATGACTTGACGGCATTATATTTGTCTTCGGTTAAACCCAATGCAGGCGAAGATAAGAGAAAGGAAAGATCATCCTCAGAATTTAACATGATCATGCCAAGAGATCCAAGTCTTTTAGCCGCACTTCGTCCATAAGTTGCATCACACAGTAGAATCTTTCCCTTCACTAAAGCACTGTCTAAACAATCAGGGTCGCAAAGTCTGAAAATATGAAAAGCAATGACAACTCAAAATATAAGGCTTGGACCCTTTTTTAACATCTAGAAATTAAAATAAAAAATGGCCAGCAAAATTCACCTTGCTTCACTATCATTGCAAGTGCTTGATACACCCTTACCATATACCAGAGGAAACTGTGTTCCATTTAGAGTGAAAGAATTAATAGAATTACCCTGTTTTCACAAACCCAGTAATTAGAAATACCTACACTCTTATTTCATTTGCACACACACATGCATGAATGAATATATGCGCATTTATAGATGTGGTTAAATGTGTGTGCAAGTCTGTGTATCAAGTAATTGACAAAAACACTAGAGTCAAGGAGGCATACGACTAATGTCTTTCCATTCCCAAGAACAACTTTGTCTATGATCCTACGATCCGTGCTGCTTGCTGCAACAGTGAGCAGCCATGGTGCCACACTTGCCACTGTTCCTGCATCAGGACCATTATTTCCTGCAGATTGCAAGGTAAGAATTCCTTTCGCCATTGCATGAAAACCACCAATTGCAACGACATCAGAATCAAATTCTGTTGCTTCGGATCCTCCAATTGAGATTGTTATAATGTCAACTCCATCAGCAATAGCATCATCAAAAGCAGCAAGGATTTCGCTTGAGCTACATGAATCAGGACCACAAACTTTGTATGCAGAAATTCTTGCTGAGGGTAACCCTCCTCTGGCAGTACCTTGTGCCAGTCCATAGAAGCTGACATTCTTTACTATGTTCCCAGCTGCTGTTGAGGCAGTATGTGATCCATGGCCTACGTCATCCCTTGCAGATGAGGATTCAGAATAATATCTAGCTCCAATGATTTTGCTGAAAAACCAAACCATCCAATATTGTTAATCTTTTTCATTAATGTTAGGTCACGAGCATAGTGTATAGCTGAAGAATTTTCTACCAACAACTGATTTATACAAGATATCCACTAGTCAGTGCCAAGAGAATAAACTGTTTAATTAATGGAAAGAATTGAATTACTTGTTGCAAGTGAAGTTTTGGCCACCTTTGCAGGCACCCTTCCACTTCTTGGGAGGAGGGCCGAAATCATCATCATTAAAACTCTCTGATTCTGGCCAAATTCCTGTATCAATGACGCCAACTATAATATCACTCTCAGTGCTCGGTTTTCCACTTGTAGTCCCATTGAGACCCATAAAGTCCCAGGATCTTGTTGTTTGAAGTTGGAGATTTGTACTCCGAAAAACAGAGACTACTTCCTTTTTACCTGCACATCACATTATTGGGGGGGGGGGAGGGAAGACCCATTCACTACATATATTTCTTGTCAAACAGTTCAAAAAAAGCGTTGCCAACACTCACTGGCTAACTTTTGTGCCTCGTCACTGGTGAGTTTCGCGGAAAATCCGTTGAAACTCCTTTTGTAACTTCTGACAAAGAAATTTTCAAAAGAGCTGCAGAGAGAAACATGCGAAAGACGAAAGTTACAAGAATCGTTGAAGAACTACTAATCTTGAAAACTGAGAAATATCTCAACCTGTCCTGAACAACTTCTTGAAGCAAACTGAGGTGGTGAGATGATGGCGAGTATTCGCTCTCTGGAAGTGACCCCATATACACTACATACACCTGCATTCATCAACACAGTAAATCCAATTTCTTTATTCAAAAAAAGAAAAAGAAAAGGAAAGGGAAAAATTCCATCCCACAAGTTATCTGGCATGGCTAGAACAAAAGAAAAAACAAAGACATGAACTTGCCTTTCTATCATCACCAGTAGCACTGCATAATACACTAATGCTTAGTGTAAAAATGCAGGTAAGAACACACAGCAGAAGAGATCCGCAATGAGCCATTGTTTAATGCTCAAACTTGAAGGGGCTGGGAGGTATTTTATTTTGGAATCAGCAGAATCCAGGATTCAGCAGCCATCAAGGAAAATTTTTATTTTCTTTCCTTAAGAGCAAATATGCGTCTTTAGAATTACAGCTGATATTTTATATGCAGGATGTTGTTGTATCCTTAAGACAAAATGGCACACACTATTTCTCTAATCTTTTCTTTCTATACCTGCTAACAAATACCAAATGAGATTGTGTTTCTAAATTTGTGAAAATTAATTGAAATCACTTGGAAACCATAAATTGACTTGTTTCACTCATCTAAACTGGTTTTTTGTACCTTGATTCATGAAATAGTGCTGTAGGAATTAGGATAGGAATTTTCATGGGTGATCCGATTTTCTTAATTAAGAAATTACTAGCATCAATTCATGCACGAGCCTAGCTGCTGGACAGACAGATATTTATATATATAGCAGCAAATTTCTGAGGAATGTAAGATATCAAAACTAAATTTATTATATGATTTGCCAAATAATTTGGAATCTTTTTTTTTTTTTTTTTACCATTGTTAGAGAGTCGACCATTTTTCCAACATGTTCTGATCCATAACCAAACATTTTTTTTTTCAAAGATCAAGCAAGGAGCAATAAAATAACCTTAGTGAAAAAAAATAATATAACAAAGGCATGATTTTAAAGTGCATGCACGTTGCTCTGGACTTGTTTATAACAACTAACAATACTCTTTAGTTAGCTCTTGTTAAACTTGGAATGAACTAAACAACTGTTAGCATCCAAAAATAAATAAATTAATTAATTAAATTTAAGGGAAAGAAAAGGGACTAAAAAAACAATTGAGTGATGCAATTGAAAAGAAGAAAAGAAAATGATCAAAATAAAACAAACTTGTAAGATGAGAGACCAAACTAAACTTCAACAAAACACAAAGCACACGAGGACAGTGAGGGTTTATCATCACTGATTGAATTACAAATGGGCCAGCTTTGTTAGCCTATGGGTTGAACTAAAAGCACACCAATAATTAATATATAATTTTATTAGAAAATATAACTTACAAATATAATTCTTTTCTTTTTCTTCTTCTTTTTCATTATTATTATTATTTATTTATTTTTGTCAATTTTGTTATTTTTGCTGTTTTTATCTCTTTTGTCGTTTTTGCCAATTTTGCTATTTTACCGTTTTTATAATTTTTTGCCATTTTTGTCCATTTTTTTCATTTTTATCGTTTTGATCTTTTTTTCCTGTTTTTTTTCCCATTGGTTTTCCCAACTTCAACAATTTTTTCTATTTTTGCCGTTTTTATCATTTTTTTTTCGTTATTGCCTATTTTTCCTTTTTTTGTCGTTATTATCTATTTTACCTATTTGTCTATTTTGTTGTTATTGTCAATTTTACCTATTTTACTTATTTTGCCTATATTATCTATTTTGTCATTATTGCCTATATTGACTATTTGTCTATTTTGCCCATTTGTCTATTTCGCATATCTTGTTTATTTTTCTATTTTGTCTTTATTGTCTATTTTGTGTATCTTGTCTATTTTTGAGCTTTGTTTTCACACATACTATTTGGGTCACGTTCACCACATATTCTTGCATATTCATCATATTCTTTACATTTCATTTTCTTATCCATTCATTATAAAGTGAGGGCGAGGTCCTTGATCGACCAAGTCCCAAATCACTCGACCGATAGGCAAATTTTTTTTTTAAAAAAAATCGGAGCAATTACTTTGCCGAACTACGTAAATCTTATGTGTTGATAATTTGTGTAGCTTTATATTTTCATTATTTTCTACCATTAATTGTCTTATTTTCATTGTTTATTATAACAAACTCGGTATTAGGGCACAAGTTGCACATCTTTAGGTTTTTTATTTGTAATGGTAGCTTTGAAATTTGATGTTACACCTTTTAATGGTTAAAATAATTTTGACCTATGGAGGATAAAGATGAAAGCTTTGTTGTGACGTGAAAGTTCTATCAAGGTAATTGAGGGTATATACCTAGATAACATAACTTCGCTGAAATTGAAGAGATGGATGAGAAGGCTCATAGTGCTTCTACAATCATCATTGTTAAACAAGGTATTGTAAGAAGTTGTAGATGAAGAGACCGTAATGGGATTATGGAAGAAGTTGGAAAGCCTCTACATGAAGAAATATCTTACAACAAGATATTTGAAGCAACATCTTTATACACTAAAGATGCAAAAAGATAAGTCTATTCAAGAGCAACTTAATAAATTCAATAAGATTGTTATGGATATAAAAAATCTTGATATTAAACTTAATGAGAAAGATCAAGTTGTTATTGTATTATGTTCATTACCTACTTCGTATGAGAATTTTATCAATTCAATGTTATATGGGAGAGAGTCCATAACTTTAGAGGATGTTATGACCTCATTGAATTCTCGCTAAGTTGAGACATAAGCTCGAATGGTAAAGCTATTAATAGTCAAGCTAATGATTTGCTAGTAAGGAGAAGATAAAAGGATAGAGAGGCTTATAAAGGAAGATGCAAATTTTGTTCTAAGTCTAGATCACTCTCGATAAGAAAAATAATCTTGAGTGGTACTATTGTCATAAGAAAAGACATTACAAATCGGATTGTCCTACTTTGAAGAAGAAGCGTAAATTGCGGGGTCAAAGTTTTGAGTCTGTTAATGTGGCAAAGGCTACCGATGCCGATGCCGTTGAAAGTGTTCTTGTTATATGTCCTTTAAATGGTCATTCGATCAAGAGTGGATTTACGATACATGTGCTTTTTATCATATGTGTCCAAATAAAGAGTGGTTTACCACTTATGAGCCTCTAAGTGGTGGCTCGTTTTGATGGACAATAATTCAGCTTATGAGATAATTAGGATTGGTACAATGTGTATCAAGTATCATGATTCGATTATGAAGACTTTGATGGAAGTAAGACATATACTAGATTTTAAGAAGAATCTAATTTTTTTAAGCTACTAGTTTCGAGAGTTTATGGCTATTTTGGTAAAAGTGAAATTCTTAAGGTTTTTAAGGGTTCTTTGGTTGTGATGAAAGGAACTCAAATTAATCATCTCCGTGTTGCAAGCTAGTATAGTAATAGGCTCTGCAAGGATGATTACTTTCTACTCGAAAAGAAAATGACTCAATTGTGGTATATGTGTCTAAGCCTCATGAATGAGAGAGGTATGACTACTATGAGTAAATGTGGTTTGCTTTGTGGTGATCGGATTTAGGAAAGCAAACTAGAGTGTAGTTCTCTGTTTGCACTCATTCTACAAAGGGCACACTTGATTACATTTATTCAAATTTATAGAGACTAACTCGGGTTCCATCTAAAGGTGGTGCATTTTATTTTATGATGTTTATTGATGGTTACTCTCGAAAGGTTTTGGTTTATTTTTTCAAACAAAAGAGTTTTCAAACATAAGAGTGATGTTCTCAAAACTTCCAAGCAATGAAAAGTTCTAGTAAAGAATCAAACAAAGAAGAACATCAAATGTCTTTGAATAAATAATGGCTTGAAATTCGTGGTGAAAATTTTAATGATTTTTATACAAACTGCGGGATTGTCCGATATCATACGACTAGACACACTCCTCAACAAAATGGAATGGTAGAGTGAAAGAACATGACTTTGATAGAGAGAGCTAGATGTATGCTCTTTAATTTGAGTTTGGAAACGAATTTATAGGCTAAAGTAGTTAACATGACTTATTCTTATAAACTCGTTCTCCCTCTACTATCATTGATTGTAAGACTCCAAACAAGGTATAGTCGGGTAAGCCTAGTGATTGTTCAAATTTAAAAGTATTTGGATGCCTTGCTTATTGTCATGTTAAAAATGATAAACTTGAACCTAGAGCGAAAAAATACATATTTGTTGGCTATACTTGATGGGGTGAAAGGTTATCGTCTATGATGCCTTAAACCCAATTTGTCTAAATTTATTATTAGTAGAGATATTACTTTTAATGAGAAATATATGCTTGATTAAAGAAAGGTTATTTGTGAGTGTATAGGAAAGAGTGAGAAAGCCCGTAGATAAGGTGGAGCTTTAGGTGGAGTTTAAAAAAGAAACTCCTCAAACCCATCTTAAAATGTATCCCCTACAGATTGGAGACGTGCAACAAGATTTAGATATGAATGAAAATACCACAGAATTTGAACAACCTTACTCAATTAGCTATTGGTCGAAAGATGAGACAAATAAGACCTCCCTAGAGATATGCTTATGCCGATCTAGTAGTCTATGCCCTCATTAGAGCCGAGACAATGGATAGTTAGGAGTCTTTTACCTATACGGAGGCGTGTTGTTTTGTTGCTTGTGCCCGTGTCTCATGAAATTACTCGTGTGTTTCTTTTTTCTTTTGAAATAGAGAGTGAAGCACAAGCATGTCATTTTGTTGCTTTGGCCATGTGGTTTGCCTCTCGCCCATATGTATCAAGCATTTGTTTATGCATGTGGGGGTCTTTTTGTTGGAGAGAAGGAATTTTATTAGTCTTAGTGTTGAAATCAATATTTTCTCTCTTCACATCTCTTGTCTCTTATACCGAGTTAGGTCACGTAAGTTTAGATGTCTCGTTTTAAGGAATTATTTGATATTCTTGAAGGTTTGTAGAATTCAAACCAAGGTAGAGATTTATCGTGTGTGGCTTGAACTTTATGGGCTAATAATATATTTAACTCATTCGGTTTTTTTCTTTATAGATATGAGGTATTTAAACCTCCTTATGTTTTTGTTTAAAAAATAGAGTGAAAGACATAAACTTTGTA